GTTTCTAGCTTAATTGTAGAGGCAAAATTAAAGGATATTATACACTTATGACGGTACAGACGGACGGTCACACTGTATCTTCCTTGGAATTACAATATGAGAATATATTGCAAATTATTATAGCCCGAAGACAAAACTTTATTGAAAACAAATGTATAAAAATGGAAAAGCATTAACAGAAGTTGCAACAGTATTCCTTTATATGTATTAATAAGTATTTCCCGTGGTGCGAGATAAAATTGAAATATTCCGAACGAATTATGCAATCGCTTTTTGTATGCCTCATAATGTTAAAACATTAAGGACACCTGTGCATACTTTTCAAGACTATGAATTAATTTTTTTCTATCATGTGGGAAATTTGGCAGTAAAAATGTACTTTGCTGTTTGCATTTACCTTTAAACTATGAATTATGTTACAGTTGTAAAAATGTAAAAATTAAAAAGACGATAAAGATTATTAAATAAAGATTTCTGTACCGTTATAAGTGTATAACATTTATCTGATGTCTTTTGAAAAGGGAAAGCTATGGATCAATGCGCCTCGTGATTATACATTATTTAAAATAAAGTTTATTGTGTCTCATGATATTTTTTGAATTTACTCAGACTCTCATTTTTGGGGGGTGGGGTGAAAATGAAGATTCTACAGCAACCCGTTTAACAGTCTGATACCATCTTTCTGCACACAAATAGAAACAAAAAGTAGCAATCAAGATTATCAATGAGCCAGGTATAGATAAAACACGCCTATTTCACGATAATTGTCATTTCCCACACTGAAATAAATAATGGTCATCGCTTTGCGTTATTGCAATTATGTCTCAAAAGGACAAACTTACTACATCTCTAATATAGTGTTCAAAGTCAGGGGGGCTTTGCTTGACCGAGCGGAGTCAAAACCCTGGAGCGAATCCCGCTAGAAGCCATGTTTATCCCAAATTAACAAAGGCTTCTATACAACTTCAGTTGTAAGTTGAAAAGCCAGACGTGTCCATTCTATACATCAGTTTTACTCTAATCAATGTAAGACAACATAACCATCAACCGCACATCCGCGTAGTTTCTCTACATCAACTTTCCGTTCCGCCAATAGTTCACACCAAACAAACTCTACAACTATTCCTAAAAGATGGGACTTTTTAACTACGCTACCTTGGACCAGTCAATCTATGGTTTCAAGGCACATCACACAAGTAAAACTACATGTGGCACGTGCCACCATAGAGACATAAACTGTATATGCCGAGTCTCTTCTCGTTTATTTCATTGTGTAATCTACCCGTTTCCTGCCGTAAATACTGCCACTGCCGTCACAACGCCAATGTACACCATCAGATTTTATAAAGTAATACATCACTCCAGGTTCACTCATGCGGATTGGGTCTGAATTCACTACTCATTGACCATGGCATCTTGGAAGCTCACACTTTCTCTCCGTGACGTTTGCTCCTAGAAATTTGATAATTATTTCTGGCTACGAGATATTTCCCATTGCACCGAATTCCAAGAATCAAACAAGTAATCACACAAACCTACGAATTGCTTAAACCGGGCGCTACAACCAAATGCGTATCTCCTTAATTTTATTACAATAGGTTGGTTCTTGTACGGATAATATAATAAATTATGAAAAGATATAAAACCATCTTTTGAAATAGTAATATTTTGTAATCATGAATTACGTAAAATTTAGGCTTTTTAATACACATGTTCCATTCACAATACCAAAATATACACAATTACATTATTATGTTCCTCTATAAAAATTTCTTTTAATTTGTTTTCCTTTTTAGTTTTTAAATTTTGCTTTAGCTTTCCGCTTTCTTGCACTATTACATTTAAAGAATATATGAAATGACGATAAGCATATAAAAATGACGAAGGAGATAATTCAAGATGTAACTATAAACTTGTTTGTTCTTTGAGTAAAGAAATTATTCATCCTATATGTCAATTATGCGCAAACCTTCATATATGGGCTGTAACGTCCCAGCCTCTTAAAACTCTTTTCATAAATGCATTGTCAGTATCTAATGTTTTTCTTTATTATTTAACATTCAACCTGTATGTATAATTGGTACATATAAGTAGAATTAATGTTTCAATTGACTGAGTTGCCAGTCACATGTGCGGAAGTTAAAATATAAAGACATGTCTTAAAAATGAAAACTACCGAGATAAGCTCAACTATCCATCGAGTTAAACAGTGTCAGGAAACCAAATCTAAAGATCTCCTCACCAATCATTTTTAAGATCATTAATGCTAAGTTAATAAATGTTCTGTTAGTGGAAGTACAACGCATTAAGACCATAACGATGTTTTTTTTTTTTTGTATTTGCTTGGAAATCACTATAATTACTTTTTATTGAAAACCCAAACAAACAAACACACAAAACAAATAAACGCAACAGCGATCTTGCATGTAGAAGCTTAAACCTAGAGTAAAACTTGTTGGCGGAGACAATACAAATTATAAACCAAACGCTTTCAGTTAAATTTCCAGAGAGCGAAGTCGACCAAATACACATTTAGCTGAGATGGAAGCTGGAAATTATACGTTTAAGTGTGAAAGTTAAATCATTGATGGATGGCAGATATACTTCAGAAATATGATTTACCCGCATGGTGAATAATCGTTTAAAAAATTATTTCATTGTTAGTGTAGTGCGAAATTGATCACAATTTAGTTGAATCTTCTAATGACGACTTCCAGTTGACATTGAAGTTAAGACTGTTGCCATCTGAACGTCACATCTGAACATCAGCGCTATGGTGGCCAACATTTGTCTGGAAACCTAAGCATGTAAGGTGATAATGCGTTTCAGACCATCTCGTACAGTTTGTGGTGTGGAGTGTTTAATATGAAAGTTGGGTAACAATACTTTTCAGACTATCGTAGAGTGTCTGAAGTGTGGAGTGTTTCATATGAAAGTTAGGTAATAATAGGTTTAAGACTATCGTAGACTATCTGAAGTGTGGAGTGCTGAAGACGAAAGTTTGGAGAGAATACTTTAAGATTTAGAGAGGTATTAAAATATCAAAATCACACACTCACACAATTATACATACACAGAGACATATAGATAGCTGTGTTGTAAAGAATGCTTCTCTGTTATCTTTCATTCCCATTAAGCGTAGTGTAAGAGAGGGAAACTCAAATTTCTATGAGAAATGCTTTGATTTCAATCGATTTACCTATTGTTCTGGGTTGAAAGCATTTTTGAAAAATAAAGCTCTCTAGACTGATATGAAAACGGGCTGTGGCGATGAGAAATGGACTGACAAGGCTATACCATGGAACCTTTATGTAAATTTCATTTATTGGACGTCAAACTTAACTTCAGAAAGTTGTTTTTCTTCACACAGTTGATAATTATCATTCAATTATAAAGTCATCTGCCAAATGTTCTGTTAGAAAATTCTCATTATTTCGAACTATATGCGAAATCATACATGAACTGTACCAGACCTTGTTAATATGCTGACCAGAACATATTTTGTAATAGATACATTCTATTTTCCTTGAATCTGTAAATAATGAAAACGGAGGTAAAACTACAATAAACGTTCTGATTAGTATATTAGATATTGGAGTGTTACGTGACTTCTACGGTATTACTTCTAACACTGGAAAATGTGCTCAATTAAAATTTAAGTAGCTCCGAGATCCCTGTCAGCATTGCCGACAGTCTAGATGTAAAAATAACTCAAGGTAAAAAGTATAACAATTTGATCAAATATATATAATGCATTCACCTATTTCATCGACAATTCTAAATCGCAATTTCTATCAGAATACATACAAACAATGACCTAAGAAGTATATAGTTATGGATTCTTGCTCACTTTATTGACTGAGTGATAAAGGGTGATCTCTCGAAATCTGTCATGGATCTATATACTACTGTGATTTCTGACTCACTATTCTCTAAGTGGTGTGTGTGTGTGTGTGTGTGTGTGTGTGTGTGTGTGTGTGTGTGACATCATCGCAGAACAAATGGATGTATTGTGGACCTGTATGGTTGCTCACTGCGTGATAAAGAGTGTTTTCTGCCCATATACTAGGGATCTCTGGCTCACTTTTTATGTTGTATTAGAGTTGTGCTTGTAATATAGCGAATATGTCTCTTCAGTGTTATATATATATATATATATATATATATATATATATATATATATATATATATATATATATATATTTATATATATATATATAGATAGAGAGAGAGAGAGAGAGAGAGAGAGAGAGAGAGAGAGAGAGAGAGAGAGAGAGAGAGAGAGAGAGAGAGAGTGTAGATCGATTGGGATTTAGCGAAGTTAGCAAAGGTTGAGTACTGGAATTAAGTCCAGAGAACGGTTGAAGCATACCAAGGAGTTAATAGCGTACGCTAATAAGGATCTGGGTTATGTGCCTGGGAATGAGTGGATGAGACGCAGTCATAGTTATTAGCTGTAATACATCAAATATAATCTGAGACGTTTTCATTTGTCAGAGCCACAGCGAGATCACTTTTATTATTGGCTAAATAAGGTGACTCGAATTCAGTTGATAGGTCGTGTAAAATTTATAAAATTTGAGAATGTGTTCAAGCGTGTATTTGATAAGATGGGCTTCCAGGAGCATGCGGCGAAATATAAGACGGTCTCTGGGAACGGTTTGGGTGAGGAGTAAACAAGAATAATTCTGAGACGTTGTTGTCGGGATCAAAGAATCTCGCGACAAAGGAGTCAAGGCTAAAGATATCGTACTGTGTGTGAGTGCGTGTGATTTTTTAATGTAGCTTTAAAAATATGTTCAGTCATACCAATACGATGTCTGCAGTGTGACAGTTTATAGTGATGTCTAGCCCTGGGGTTTCATGCATTAGACATGGGGCATGATCTATCACCCAGTCACATTATCCTGACACCAGGCCGATCAGTCCTAATACTAAACTCTTAATGCTGAGCGTCAAGCGAGGCAGCTGTTAGTACCATTTGTTAAAAGTCTTTAATATGACCTGGTGAGGGTTCTAACCCGCAATCTCCCGCATCTGAGGCGGACGCTTTAACCACTAGTCCACCAGAGCGATAACAACATGTACATTTAAATTAAAAACGTCCCGTTTAAGATTTTGTGTACACCACAAGCCCACTCGTAAACTTAAATCAGTAACATCTCTCTGAATCTCTCGTATGGATATGATTGAAACATGAGTACCTTGGAACAGACTAATCATTGGGATCCAGGGTAGCGATGCCAGTACAGAGCGACTGCACCTGCAAATTTTAAATTAGATGATTTTGTGCGGGACACAGAAGGAAAAATAAAAGCGCACATAAAACCTTTTATAATTAAAGACAGTACGATCTTTTCTTGCATAATAAATACACATGTTCACATATAAAAAATGAACCTATGGTGATGAAACCCGATGAAGACAGCTCAATAAAACGATATCTGAGTGTGTTTCTGTTCAATCTAACTCACAACAGAAAATCAACAAAGACTCGCCAAAATATTACTTCTGATATCTACTTAAAAACCATACACTCTTCTAAAAATGAGAAAGTTATAGATCCTGGGTTAATTATTAATAGGTTTTAGATTGTAAATCTTTGTTAAGCATGCTTTGTACACATAAATATTTATATATATATATATATATATATATATATATATATATATATATATATATATATATATATATATAAAAAGAGAGAGAGAGAGGAATTTAATTTCTGCCCTAAAGACACCATATAAAACACAACCTTTCTTTCATTCCATAAAAGATTGTATACTGTCAGAATATACCACAACACAGACAGGCAGATTGTCTAAAACTCGGATGAGTTATTATACAGCAAGAATTAAGTTCTTCTTGGCATTGAAACACGACTGCTAATTCATACGAGAGCTTTATATCATCAAATGAATGGTACTTAAAGCTAAATTACCATATAAATTATATTGCATTGTTTTTGGCAATACTCCCAAGAAAAATAATTTCTTTATTATCTTTAAGTCCACATCAATATAAATGCGATCTAATTATTGTGTGCTCAATTGAATTTTGATTAATCGTGATGCAGTTTTTTTCTATGTTGAGAAAAGAAAGAAAAAATATTTCCATGTACCCAAAAACGGCGCCTGGGAACGTGATTGCAACGATTGTTTAATGACATTTTTATTACTGGAGTCTGCAATGTACTCTCAAGTGCAGTGTACTACAGGTGTGTAAAGCTGTGTCTCCGTAGTGTATACAATTTTTCCACATGTGTGTCATCACCAGAATGTATGTGGAAAACACACCATGTCAGTAAAACAAATGTTGTCTTTCAAAAACTCTAGACCTAGAGGATATGTAATTGTGTAAAATCAAATAAAATCCAATGTAAAGGAAGCGTGTAAATGCTTTGCTTGAGGTGGACCTCCTAATGTATGTTGATTTACAAGAGTAATTAACCTAATGTAAGTAGTGTGTGTGTATGTGTTTGTGTGTGTGCTCATTCCAGTCTATCTTAAAATGTTCAGTTATCATTTGCATTTGTCTGAATTGGATGCAGTATAGATTTTCCTGTACAATGCATATTAGATTTTTTCAGCGACTGCCTCCCAGAGTGCTGGGTATTAGTTTCTCTCTTGTCTTTGCTGAGAATCGAGAAGTTCATATTTATCTACTAAACATTGGATTTTACGGATCTGGGATAAATATCATGGGAATTAATATCTTCCCATGGGTATATACTATTACATTTCCAGACCAAATTATATGTAAGTCTTTGCAGGTCAAATATGACTGAGATATCTTTTTACTATCTGCTAATAATTAGAAGTTCAAACGTGACACTCTCTGTCGTTATTGTCTCCCTGTAATCAAATAAATAGTTCTTCGTACACATTCCTTTAGCTCACAAGAAGCTATTCTTCATCAGCAAAGCACAGATAATTTTCTGCCTGTGAATTCAAAATGGAAGCGTGATGCACAAATATCAATTACATATATCCCAACAATTTTGAAGGCAAAGTCTCTTTTACTTTAACAGTGAACACATCTTGAAATCTTTGTCGTTTTCTGCATTTGGGTCTTATATAAACAGTATTTAAAATTTAATCTAAACTTTTCATCAGTCGATATTAAAAACAGCGATATGAAATTTTCTTGTTAGTTGATATATCTCCGCTGAATGTTGACCTCATGAAGAATGAAACAGAAAATGTCTACTACAGGAACAAAACCCTTTAAACATTTATAAAATTATTGGCACGTTTTGGTAGCAAATATTGTACGCCTACAGACATTAAAATTGAAGCAATAATTAAAATTCTTGCTCATAATCACCGAATGCGTTGTAATACAATTTTGTTTTAAGCAACAAGCAGAATCATAAACCATTCTAGGTGCTTGGCAATTTCTTATAAATTTCTATTTGGTGACAAATTCATATCGTTTCTTCAAATTTGCCCATGTATGTACTGTACGAAAAGGAAACTACTTTGGCAAAGATACCACTGATGCAACGAAAATCGATTAAGAAACAACAAGGACAATGACAAAAAAATTTATGTTTGTAAAACAACTACCTCTGAGCTTTCCCGATTTGATATCCTCTCAACCTTTACGCTAGCCGAGAGGCTTATGACGAAACGTCTGCATCAGGACAAAATGGCGGCTGGGTATGTACATTTGTGTTTTCATACGCAGCAGGTGTATGTACATGGGTATATGAGCTTTAATCTATCACTCATGGGCTAGGCCCCTTGTGGGCTAAGATGACTCCAGGATCTATATACCAGTTGCCAGGGCCGTAGAAAGCGATCATTGGCCCTGGGGTAAAAAAAACACCCGGGTCTCTCCTAGTTCTTGCTCAATCAAAATTTGTCTTTAATAAAATTAATAAGTGATGTTCGGCTGGGGCCCCGGGGATATATCCTCGGCCGCCCTCCTTATCGGCCCTGATTGTTGCGCGTAAACGTTAATTTTTTCTTGCCTTAAAAGTGTCGTTTTCTATATCTATAACAGATGCGTCTGCTGTGAATTATAGAATAACATATGATATGCTTGCATCCCATACGAAAACATACATTACTGTCATGAAATTTATATAGTTTATACTACTTTTATTAGAAATTAACCAAACTCTGAGACCAAAGAAGCTAAAAAAAACCCGTCAGTTTATTTTTTAAATTTCTGACACCATAACACCATAAGCACAAACAGTAGAGAAATAAGCTATATAAAATATAACCTAGAGTGAGATACGTATTTAATAGATCTATTTCATTACCTTCGTCATTTATCGTACTGAAAAACAACTGTTGTCAAGTAACGTTATGGTAATTAACTTTCAAAAGAATAAAATAGATTTATTCTTAGGCTTCGAAAATCTAGTAAATAAATATCTCTTACTGTACAATTATTGTAACAGGGTAAATAAATATCTCTTACTGTACAAATGTTGGAACAGGGTAAATAAATATATATCTTTCTGTACAATTGTTGCAACAGGGTAAAAATATATATCTTACTTTACAAATGTCGTAACAAGGTAAATAAATACAGGAAACCAACCTTTGAAATAAGTGTTACTTACGGTTCATAGTGCTTTTCAAATTTAGTTCTTCAATGTAGGGATGGGACACTCATGTGATAATTGTAAATTATATCACCATTAGGATCTTGTCTGACAAATTTTCCAATAATGAACATTATAACAGGAGTTATTTACCATTAGCACATCTTCGTATTTCCTGGAAAGCATGAGCCAAAGGAGGTAGAAAGCGTGTTGCAAGAAGATAAAACTACATCCCTTCTGTGGAAGATTTTGCTTTAAGAGTAAGCATCGTCAGCCATTATTGCCATTTGTGCTTCACAAATAACTTGTTTTCGTTCTATTTTGCGGCCTTTAAAGAATTATAATACATGTCATGTTAATCCAATATAGTCAACGTCACATTGACATTCAACAGAAGGTGGGGTGTTTTTCGAAAGTGATAAACATTCCACGTTTAATTCTTGTAGACGGCTTTTTAAAAACTGATGTGATTATTTGGACGATATACATGGATTCAAATCAATCAAAAGAAGGAATGGAGGATTCGCCAATAGGTTCATGGAATGAAGTTTTATGTATTTGTGAGACTTATTTTGAAAGATACGTATAATATTGTTGAATAATTCCGTCAAAAATGCAATGCAATGAAATGGGCTGGACTATTTAGGCAAATATGTAATTTGCAAATGACATACATGCCTGTGTTTATTTCATCAGAAATACATTTAAGTAAACTTTCTTTTGGGGGAATCAAAGATCCAAGAACTACGGATCCTACGAATATCATCCTAGAATGTGCTGGAAATGTTCGTACATAATAACATGTATGCACTGGAATCCTTGCGATTGTTCTCTAAAACTAACCGAACTTTAAGGCGATAACATAACTAACCGTATATTACTAATTGTTAATAAATGTTTATAATTACTTCACTGAACTGCAAAACTCTACTTATTGACATTTTCCAATTAATGGCAAAAATATGTGGTACGCGGGTTGGAAAAACTTACCATAAAGGAATTTATTCATTGCCCATCACAATATTTCTTTATTTGTCGATAAATTTGCTGTCTTACCAACTCAAACAATGACAGAGAACTGTTGGGAGATGGTAGAGCGGCCTTCAGACATTTTGATATTAAATATTATTAGAGGCTTAATAATAGGTTTTCTAAAAGATGACGACAGAATTAGAAACAAAACATGAAATAGAAAACGTCTGATTTTCTTGCTGTCGGATTACCAGTTCGATTCATTGTAGATTCCCTTTTGTGACTCTTGAGACACCTTGATGGTGTTTTCACTGACGGATGGCCTACTGTCTCCGAATTAGGTGTTAATGTTGTTGCTCTCTTGTGTTCGCCCTCCAACCAAAACCATGGAGTACCTGTGGTTGCCGTGCAGCTGCAACGCATGCGCGCTTTCATTAATTATTACACTGTCATAATTCATTCTGAAATATTTAGATAATCTATCGGTTCTTCATACTTCCATGACTAATTAAACATTGGTTTTAATTTGTACTACAGAAAC